ACGTCCTTAAACTATAAGAAAAATAAAAAGGTTTAATATTTTTCCTTAAAACACTTTCGAGAAATTCGATATCTTTAAGAGCATGGTGATTATCAGATTTCACGCACGTCTGTAAAACCAAGGAAGTGCATATAGAGACACTGGAATTGAAATGCTATCCATCTAACCAACCAAACAAACCTTAAGATTTCCTTATATAAGGAGCCGTTGCGAACAAATTTGTCAGATGCTCCGTTTAAGAATTTTTTGGGGTTATTTCAGTTTTTAATAGTAATTTAATAATTATAAATTTGATTTATTAACTATTTATTAATTGTAAATTTAGTAATAATAAATTTGATTTATTCGAATTTATTTAAATCTTGTTTTTGTTGTGGCTTTTCATTAATTTTTAAATTACCGTTTGAAATAATTATCAAGATTACAATATTTTTTTTGATTATAAGTAGGCCTACAGTTTATAAATTCGCTGAAACCAACATTCGAAAGTTTTATCAACAGTAATAGCAACTGCAATAAAAACAACAACAGAAACAACAAAATTATTATTATTAACGACATCGACGTTAACAACATCAACTAATCGGCAAACAAGTTGACAACAAACTCAGCAACAACAACATCAACACTACCAACAACATCAACAAAAAAACAACGTCAACAAAAATCATGTCCCTGCTAGGATTCTACGTGGTTTTCAATTTGATTGCCATCTCTTCAACGCAACCCATTCAGAAAGACGGCCAAAACGAAAGCAAGTTGACGAGCACTGCAACAACAACAACGCCACCACAACATCTACGCCAACAACAACGCCAACAACAACATCTACACCAACATCTACACCAACAACAACATCTACACCAAAAACAACATCTAATACTACACCAACTACGAAAACAACAAATGATCAAATCATCAATCCCTCGTTGACATCATCATCATCAACAAATTTATTACCATTTTCAACAAATCCATCGACTACATCATCATCATCATCACTACCACCTTCATCAACAAACTCATCATCAACATTAAATTCGTCATCAGCAACACCACCATCACTATCATCATCATCACCGGCAACTATACCCCAGCAGTCACCAACGACCGGTGTGTTAATGTTGTCGTCATCATTACCAACAACAACATTTGTGGTTGTCGTGGTTGTCGTCATTATCACCAACAACAACATTTAATAAGAACATAGCAACAGCCATATGCACCAGCCAATAAGAACATACCAACAACAGCCAATAAGAGCATAACAACATATGACATAACATATGCACCAGCCAATAAGAAAATACCAGCATATACAATCAAAAATTTAACAAAAAAACCCGTGAAAACACGAACAAATAAAAATAGCAAACATTCATACAGAAACATTTTTTTAAACGAACATGTTGAAAAACTTTACATATACATGCTTTATTCTATTTCGCTTGCGTTTCTTAATCAGTGACGTACATTTATTTCATATTTATCTTTAAGCCATCCGCTTTGGACATTTCAAATATAATTATAATTAAATTATAATTAAATAATAATTATAATTAAATAATAATTACAATTCAATAAAATTATAATTAAATAACATTTATTATTCCGGCGAGGGCATGTTTAATATTTCGTTGGTAGCATTGAGGTTTTGTTAGTGTTGATGAATATGACCATGCATGATGTGAAAAAACTAAGGATGAAATTTTACTAAACGATTCTAATATTCATCACACACACACACCACACACACACACATAAACTCACACTACATTCGTACACACAAAATATACACACAAATACACTTATAAATATGTACGTACATACAAACAAACAAATAGAAGTCAATTAACGCCACGCAATAACACATGATAAAAAATACATTCTCAGTAGTTGAGACGACAAACAACAACATAACTTATTGCTAGTAATAAAAAACCACAATCATCATTTAACGTTATAAGAAAAAATACAAAATTCATTTCATAAATCTATCGAATTTTTTTTGTCATGATATTTGGTGTTGCTAAATTAATTAAATCAAAATATATCTAAAATGTAATTTAATAATTTGAACGTTTGAACTAGAATTATAATGATTTAATGAATTTCTTCAACTGAAACAGCAACTAATCTTTTTTCTATCGTGGCGTATGATTGTTATGTACCACATATCTTAATTAATGATTTATCAAGTGCTTCGTTTAATTATTAAAATGCTATTGACCAATTTTATTGGCGCTATGCTTATTCATACTGGATAGAAATAAGTTGAATTCAAGTTTGAAGTCTGATGTTTCTTTCAATTTGATAAAATTACAATTCGACATTATCGAATTTGAAAATGATTATTTTTTCTGCATACGCACCACAGACAGGCGAATCAGAAGAGATGAAAAATGACTTCTGGGCTGCATTCTCTGACACCATCTCAACAATACCAAAATCTGAAACAATCCTGATTGGAGGCGATCTCAATGGCCACGTTGGAGAGAAAACAGATGGTTTTGACATCGTGCATGGCGGTTTTGGCTATGGAAAACGGAATGAAGATGGCAACCGCATCCTTGAGTTTGCTGAAAGTCACGGGTTTTGTTTACTGAACACATATTTTAGAAAGAAGTTGGAACATCTCATAACATATAAAAGTGGACCATTAGCCACGCAAATTGATTTCTTCGCTGTCAAGCAACCACACCGAAGGCTGTTCAAAAACGTCAAAATTATACCTGGCGAATCATGTGTCGCCCAACATAGACTCCTTGTGGCAGACCTGGTTGTCGAACTGTCAAAACATAAGTCTAAACAAATGCCTCGGAGAATCAAAACGTGGAAGCTGAAAAGCAATATTCATCGAGAAAAATTTCAACAGATTGTCGCCACACAGTTAGACCACCAATCGCAAGCCAGTACAGATTGGAGTACATACAAAACAATTTTGATAAACGCTGCAACTACAGTTTGTGGAAAAACTGGTACAAAACGTCAGCATGAACGTGACACTTGGTGGTGGAATGACAGTGTACAAAATGCAATAGCTGAAAAGAAAGTTGCATACAAGCAATGGCAAAAATCAAAATCTGTTGATGACCGTAAAATTTTCCGTGAGAAGAAGAACTATGCAAGACGTCAAGTTGCACTGGCTCGTGCAGTGCAGAGATTGGATCACTAAAAGCAAAGGTGGACAAATGAAATCTCTGTATCGTATAGCAAAACAAGCAAAGCGTACGAAAAAAGACATAGTTGGTGCCTCATGTATCAAAAATGATAAAAATGAGATGGTTCTTGAAGAAGATGAGATCAAGCTACAGTGGAGAGAATACTTCAACCGTCTGTTAAACGAAACAAATCCCAACAATGTTAACTTTGACGCTCCACCCATCGAAGGTCCGATTCCAGACATCACTATAGAGGAGCTTACAGAAGCTCTGAAAGCTATGAAGGATGGAAAGGCAGCAGGGCCCTCTGGACTCACAAATGACATTATCAAAGCATCTGGTACTGCAGGTATCCAAACGTTACTATAACTTTGCCGTGAAATCTGGAGAAATTGCTCAATGCCGACTGAATGGAACTATAGCATGACAGTCCCGCTATACAAAGGCAAAGGCGATCCATTGAACTGTTCATCATATCGGGATATACGTCTGTTAGAACACTCCCTGAAAATTGTCAAGAAAATCATTGAGAAAAGATTAACGTCATGCATCACAATCGGAAATTATCAATTTGGTTTCCTAGCGGAGAAATCAACAATTGATGCAATTCACATCCTTCGGCAACTGCAAGTACCTCGCAAAGCATCAACAACTATCACACATTTTTGTAGACCTTGAAAAAGCATTTGATCGAGTTCCCCGTGAAGCAATCAGGTGGAGTCTACGTCGACAACTCACTCCAGAATATCTTGTTCGACTTGTGATGGAAATGTATACGAATACTAAGACTCTTGTCAGCACAACGGTTGGAAACACAGATGCATTTGACATCGGCATTGGAGTTCACCAAGGCTCGATTCTCAGTCCACTGTTATTTATAACTGTGATGGAAGAAATCACAAAACCGATACGCACTGGTGACATTTGGAATCTAATATATGCTGATGATATCGTTTTAACAGCCACGTCTGAGCAGAATGCAGCACAGATGTTTGAAGATTGGAACACCAGACTCGCCGATCATGTCTAGGGGATGTTCTGGATTGTACTGGAACAGATGAAGCTGCCGTTCGAGCACGCATACGTGCAGCCTGGAATAAATGGCATCTCCTTGCCTCTATATTGATGCGGCGTGACATCCCACTACTATTACGATCAAGACTTCATAAATATGTGATACGTCCGGTGTTGTTATATGGTGCAGAAACATGGCCAATGACAACCAAACTGGAACAACAACTTCAACGAACCGACATGAAAATGCTCCGATGGATGCAACGAATTAGTCTGAAGGACCACATCAAATCTACCGAAATCCTGCGTCGTGCTGGTTTAGATGATATAAAGGACGAATGCCGGCAACACCGTCTGCGGTGGTTTGGTCATGTCAAACGAAGTGAAAACAGTGCCATAACTTCTCTTGCAGATGTTGAAGTACCTGGCACACGTCCCAAAGGCCGTCCAAAGAAGTTCTGGTCGCAAACAATCGAACAAGACATGAAAGCTCTAAATTTAAATGAAATGGATACAACTGATCGTCTAATGTGGCGCAAAAAGTTTATGGCAAAGAGAACAACGTCCTACCTCGGGAAACCGGGTTTCTGGACGCAAAACGAAGATTGATTGATTGATCGAATTTGAAAGCAACTTAATTAACCTCTATTCCATTTTTGAATTTGAATGTATTTAAATTTTCATAAATGCGTGCTCTTATTATATTTATTTATTAATTATTGTTGTTGTATAATGGTTTGTATATCCAACTAATGTAATTTTATGTTGAGAGGTTAAACTTTTCATTCAGGCGCATTTTATTGCGCTAATCCAAATTTTTCAATAAAAATTTATTTTGGCGATTTTACAAAAGTAACCATTTGAACAACATATACTATACAACATTTGAAATCATATACATATTGTTTAATCTTGCTGAAAACAAAATTTCATTGGTAACACAACAACCAGAAATAAATAATATAAATATATGTTGCTGCACATTCATTAATATTAAAATTACCAATAAAATGGATAAAAACAAAACTTGTTTACGCGATATTCAGCGTAAAACTAACTAAAAAAAGAAAATAGCCTTCATTATTAACGAGTCAAAAAAATTTAAAAACCACGCTCATTATATGTAAAATAATTACAACATTCATTTACTTTCTACCAACTAATTGAATTGCTAATGATTTTAAAAACACCTCTAACCGTCAAACGTTAGCTGTATAAATTATAAAAACCTTTCACAGTAGATATCAAACAGTTGTTCGCCAGAGCGTTAATGTGTTTTATTTTTCTATTTATTTACTGATAAATTCTATAAAATATTTTAATTAATTAGCGCATCGGTTACCATATTTATAAGCAAACCAAAACATGACCTAAAAACATAATTATATGTGAAGTTAATATGAGCGCGGTATAAATGTGAGAAATCAATTCGATAAGATTTCCATAATTTTGTAGGAATGTATGCTTATATTCTGTGGTCACAACTGAAAAATAGTGGAAATGCTGAACTCCAAAACCAACTTTAACAAACCGATACGCGAACGAACCAAACCGCCAGTCGCATACATATTACACGAACCAAAGTGGCCGATCAATTTCATGATGGCAGATGTGAACTATATTAATACTGGCTCCATTGAAATAAAATACATCTAGTCAAATTTCAGTATTGTTATTAAGCTATCTACAATAAAATACATCCGAAAAAATGTTTAAAAATTTAATCGTTGAAATGATTTAAAAATCTCGCAATTTTAAAACAATCTGTATAGGCACACGTGGAATATGACTGACAGTGGCGGATCCAGGATTGCACCGCCCACCATGAAAGAAGAAAATATTTAATATTATGTGTAAAATGTTACCAAAAAAGGTCACCAACTCTGGATTTCCCAATCATCCACTCCACCACAAAATTCTGGATCCGCCATTGATGACTGATACATATGACTTCATGTAATAAAATAAAATAAAATATGCCAGCACTCAGTCAATCGATAAAATACATGATTCATTGAACGTAATAGATAAAATATTGCTGTAAGCATTGAATGAATGAATGAATGATTGAATGAATGAATGGATAAATGAATAAATAGATGAATGAATGGATGGATAGAGGAATGAATGAATGAATCATATCATTAATCTTCATCAGGAAGAATAAAAAAGCGATTAAGAACCAAATCCAATCGCAAAATCTCATAAAAAGATATCCAGGATAAAACACCGAATCAGCTTTTCGATTGGATTTGAGTGAACTCTCTGAGAACGTGAAAGTGGTTGATCCTCTCAACCAGGAAGAAGAGCGTGCATCCGAGTGTGGCAACTGTCGCCAGGATGATGAGCTGCCACTGAAGCAGCAAGTACTGGCTGTACACGAACGCCGCCGTCGACGCCAGAGACTGCAATTACGTAACATTACATCACATTACATTAAACTTTCTCTCGAATCATTGATTACTACAATAACCGAAGATTTAAATAATTGAAGACAGTTAGATAGCACAGTGGTAAGATGCGCGTTGGCGTAATGGTAAAGTCTGCGGTCCAGAGATGTAGTGACCGGATTCAAAAGCAAAGAACTTCCCCAGCAATCGTATGTGGATGTTTACAATGGATTTATGCATAATGTGTTATTGTCGACAGAGTTGTTAGAGTCAGGCTGGTAAAAGAATTTTTCCATTTGAAATCGGTTTCAATATTTCATAATTGTAAGGTTTTTAATAGCAAAAATTAGAAAAAAACGCAACAAAAAAAAACCTGGATGAACTTGAAGAGGGCCACTGCACATGAAATTTGTGATGGGAAGATGTGATTGATGGATGGATAGATCTGCGTGGATCAAGATGATGATGATGATGATATGATGATCGGGATGATGATGATGACGAGATAAGGTAATGTTCATGGTGACAAGATGACGGTGATGATCATGACAATAATTAAAAATGATGATGGACAATATCTAATGACAATGAAAATGACGATGATGAAGATGATGACAAAACTGACCACATCAGCAGCAACCAACCTGTGTGATGAAACTGCTGTCCCCCAGCCCAAGAAGGAAGGCACTGACAAGCACAATCGCTTTGCTGCAATTCAAATTATAACTTGAGGCAAAACATTCGAGATGATTTCTACGTAAATGAACCACACACACACACACACACACACACACCACACACACACACACACACACACACACAAACAGCCTAATTTTTAAAATAATTTGCCGGCTGTCCAAACATTGAAACTTTGAAATGTTTCAACTTTACTGATCCTCTCATGAGATCAAACCTCTTTCAAATGAAACAAGGACTTTTAACGAATGTAAAATCTTTTTTTTTCAGACAACATCTTTGAGATGTGTAGAAACCAATAACAAACAAACAGAAAACAACAATCCAACTCTTGCTCAATCGTTATAAAAAAATTACAAATCATTTTAGTAGACTCGTATAGTTTTATATGGGTTTGAAATTACAAATTATTTTAACAAAAACACAAAAATGTAAACAAGAAATTGAAAAAAAAATAAATAATTGAATCAAGTGGATAACAATAATAATAATAATAATGGGAACAATCTTTTATTCGGCAATAAAAACAATGAAAATGGCAGTACAAATAAAATAAAATAAAATAAAATAAAAAAAATGAAATAAAATAAAATGTCAAATGCAATCAATATGGAAGCTCCTGATAAATAAATGAATATTAGGAGTCCCTGATTATAATAATGATAATAATAATAACATTAGAATAATAATGATAATAATAATAGAATGGGAACAATCTTTTATTCATCAATAAAATCAATAAAAATGACAATACAAATTAAGTAAAATAAAATGAAAAGTCAATGAAATAATTAGTGTTTTATCAAATCTGCGAAGCTCATCATTCAAATCGAGTGAGTACAGCCAGAGTTAATTAGTTTCAAAATTGGTTCATTTCAAATTTCTATCACAATAGATAGCGTACGACGATGATACAGCAGACTTAATAAGGTCGTTGCAAAAGTTATCAGACCAAACAATGTTTATATGAGATAAATTAAATTGCTTGAATAAATCCAATGTAGAAATTTCGAATGTATTTATTTTTATTTTCAAATGTTTGCAATCGTCAATTAAGTTATTTTTCAAATTATTAGAGTATTTAGATAGTTTATATTCTTTTGAGCTGAGGAAGTTGGTTTCGTGGCAGACTGTTAATTCCAGAATTTCCAACGTTTCACCGCGTAGCAATGCGATATCTGGTCGCAATGACTTGAATAAGCGTGATAGTGGTTGAACATCTCCCGTCTCTAGATCAGCAAAAATGGAGACATCTGGGTTGGCGCATGATTTTAATTTGTCGAGGATTATTGTCAATATTTTGTTGTGTCTTGTTGTGTATCTATCCAGTGCCGACGAAGAACTGCAGTTGGATAGTACATGTTTATTCGTTTGTAGATTATTGCATAACAAGCACTGGGCAGTGGAAGGCTTTCCCCATCTGGACAGGTTGGCATTTGTTGGCAGTTGCTGAATTAAACCTTTCCGGACGAATCTGAATAGAACCTCTGGAAGGTTTGCAATGTATCGTGACCAGTGATCAATTCTAGTTGCCGGAATATGATCACTGATTGCCTTGACTATCGTACCTTGACATCGGAGTGAGGTCAGCCGTGTAAATTCTGTACTTTGTTGTCGAAGTACTAGTGCCTTGAGCGTTGATTTGATGTCGTTCGAATCGGGTAGCTGATTATCCACCGCAATATAGTTGTTGAATGATTCGGCCCACAAGCACTTAAGTTCGTCTTTGCCGTTTGATTTTAGATAATTGCGTAGTTTAATTCGCATAGATTCGGCATAGTGCTTGAGAGACCTAATGTTCAAGCCTCCCAATTTGAAGGGGAGCGACATGCATTCAGACACACAGCTGCTGATAGGTAGTGACAGCCATGATCTCACCGATTCAACAATGAGAGGGTCGAGGCAGTTGCCTATCCAGGTCAAGGAAATGTCGTATGTCCGCAACTCAAATGCCAATTGCGACGGTATATATCTACGTAGAATTTGTAGTTTCCAATTTGCCGTCGTGTCCAGTTTGTTAATCACTAATAGCAAATTTTTTAGCTTACCATTCAGCTGTTCTTTAGCCCTACTGTTGTTGCCTTCAAAATCATAGGTTTTGCCCAGATAGACAAAGTGTCCGCCTATGTCGACATGAGGAATTGGTTTTTCGTCGATAATCAGCATCGGGAGAAATTGTTCATAAGTACCGTTTTTTTTTCTCATACCGAATGTTGAACATTTATCAATTCTTAATTTCATGCCGGTTGCGATACACCATGCCCGGTTTATGTCAATAAGCTTTTGTGCACTTTCGGTGTTGTTGGCGATGATTGCTGTGTCGTCTGCAAATTGTAACCATGCTCTTGTTCTAAGGCTTGTTGTGGGACCCCATATGTAACCGCACTGCTGAAATTCGGTTTCTTCGAGTTTTTTCATTAAGGGGTTGAAGCAGAGGTTGAAGAGCAATGGAGAGACTGGATCGCCTTGTAACACACCTCGTTTGACCGGGATGGAAGGAGACAACTGATCGCAACCGGAGACTGTAATTGTGTAGTTGGAGTATATAAATTCAATTAAGTTTATGATTTGAAGTGGGATGTGATGGTAGTGCATGATTGATGAGATTAGGCCGTGACTGACTTCACCAAAGGCATTACGTAAATCCAAGAGTGTGACGATAATTGTTCTCTGGTGCCTTTTCGCATCGTTAATCATGTGAGATAAGAGCTGGGTGTGTTCAGTCAGGCCATCAACTTTGGGGTAGAACCCTTTTTGTATATTTTTGTTGATCATGTTGTTTGATTCAAGAAAGTTGTATAGTCTATTGTTGATGAGTGAAGAGAATATTTTGTATAGCGTCGGTTGTAGTGTTATCGGTCTAAAGTTGGCAGGGTCGCGAGCATCTCCTTTTTTATAAATTAATATTGTAAACCCTTTTTTCCAACATGAAGGGATGGTAGAAGATTTCCAGCATTGTGTTAGTAGTTCATGTAGAATAGTGCGTAGGATTGGGCATTTTTTGAAGGGAATAACTGAGATTTGATCAAGCGGGCATGGTGACGATTTAGTTTTATATTTGTAGATTATTGATGAAATCTCGTGGTATGAAGGAGGACTGTTGTTGAAGGGCGTAGTTGGGGATTGCAGTTTTGGAATCCATTTAGGAAGTTGATATTTACTATGATGATTTGTGTCGTTTAAAATGTTTGTAAAGTATTTTTAGCATTCATCAACGGCAAACAGAGGTCTCAGATTTTTTGTTGAGTCGAATATTTTTTTGCAGCACCACCAGAATCGACGTTTAAGTTGAGCTGTGATGTCTGATTTTTTCACAGCACATTTAGATAACTTCAACGACTGCAGTTTTGAGCGAATATCTCTGCTTGTGTTGGTGATTTGATTGTCAAAGTTGTTGTTGTTGTGGCTAAGTTCTTTCAAGTATTTGAGTTTCTTTTTCAGGTCTTTGATGCTTTTGTTTGTGATGTTGTTTTGTATTGTGTGAGGTTTTATGATGCCATAATTTTGAGAAAAGTAATTGTATATTGTTTTTTGAAATGAGAGTGTGAATTCGTCGATGTTGTTGAGACTTGGAAGCAGTTTGCGTTGTAGCTGGAAGAAAGCGTTGGCTTCGGACCATTGGGCTGGCGTTCTTGGTGATTTTACGCCAGGGATAGCCGATTCCGTTGCCACAACTGCCGGTGACGACGACGATGACGAAGATGTGTCTGGATTTTGAGTTGAGATTAATCTATCTGGCGATGTTGATGTGATATCCATGTTATTATCCGTTGCGTCTTGTGGTAGTTGAAGCGTTCTTTGTATTTTGCACGACCGTTGGTGCATAGTAAGGCCCTTACGGCCTTTGGCCACAACAACATGAAATTAAGTTGCTACTATCAATATTAATTGAATGATTATCAACAGAATTTGAGTTATAAATGTTTGATAAATATTTACGTTAGAATTTGCACCTGTACGAACAACATTAGCATTCGTGTATCCAGTATTCTTAGTACAGCGCCAGGAGTGTCTTCCAACGTTTATGAATATTTTATTACAAAACGGACATTTATTTGAATTTACACTATATATACCATTAATTAAGAAAATTAAAATTAAATAAAAAACCGAATCAAATTTAAGTTTTAAAACTATCGCCACAATCAGCAGAATTTTTCCTATTCGAACAACCAATTTTAAAACTAGTTAAATAACTAAAAAACAATTATTATGTAAAAGAGCAGTGAGCTGAACGAAATCGGCCAACTCTCATGCAACTCAGTAGTAATAAGTAATAATAATAATAATAATAATAATAATAATAATAATCATAATTTATCATGTCCTTCTGACTTCGTTAAAATGAATTTGCAAATTGTGTTAATTATAATTTATAACAAGAATATATAATCATACATTAAACAACAAACAACAACAACACACGTTTAGACGACATTTTCCCCGAGATCGGGGGTTGCCGTTTGGCTACCTATGATGAAACCGAAATATCCCTCGACGCCATTCTGCCGGATACTGAGGGCCATTGTCACTTCTGTCATCATAAGTAATTTATTTGGCTAATTTTTAAGCAGGACGCCCATCCTTACGCAACCACAGTTATAAGCGGTGGGCCTAGCCTTTGATGATCCAACATCACTCACAAGGCAGTGAGGGTCAGTTTAATGTCATAACCAGGATATATATAATCATACATTACCAAAATTAAATAGCTCAAATGAAAAAAAAATAAAAAAAATAGCTAAATAATCACGGTAAACAAATTTTTTGTAGACTATTAAGACGAATAACCTGCCAAGAAACGTTGTAAATGGCATGTAACAAACACGAGAAGGACCAGAGATAAATAGCAGTTGAAGTGAATGACACGAGATAGCGAGTGAGGTTAATTTTAGAAATAGTAAAAACAAAAATTCGCATTTCATGAGATAAGCAAAAGAGAGAGTAAAAATTATGCAGATAATTTGAGAAGTAAGTGGTTGATATATTTCTGTATTGATGTCACTTGTTAGATGAATGATATTTCAATCCAATGAACGATTCAGTTATTAACTGAAGTTTAATAACAAAAAAGATAATTTTTTTTATTTATTTCGTTATTAAACTTCAATTATTAAATGAAATATCATGCATCTAACAAGCGACATCGCTACAGAACGTGAACTTTTCAACTTTTGTCCTCAGCAAATGATCATAACTAAATAGCACTTTGAAATTCCTCCGCACAATTACACTTAAATGTACGAAAGCCTCGAATGAGTCATTTACCTCTTGACACCACCCAGGCTATGAGGCTCTTTATAACAAAGGGCATATCATTTGCAGAAATTTTCAGCGACATAGTGTATGTACAATAAGTGTGTGTTGTTATTTATTCAAAGAAATTTTTTGCCCAAAGCGCAATAAAGCATTCATTATCTGTTGATTTGTTGATGCTGACGATATCCCATTCAAAAAATTGCGTTGAATTTTATTTATAGTAATCTAATATTGGCTTAATTAAAAATATTTGAAAAAATGTAATGTTTACATAAGGATACACACACATACAGCAGTGCACACAAACACAACACACGTTACGAGACTTACTTGGGTGTGAAATAGGCCAGGTTGTCAGTCTCCATGATGGGTGATTCAGGGGCCAGCGTAAGGAAGGCAGCGAAGAGGGCAACCATCTGCAGCACGTACCCGACGAACATCACGAAACCTCGGTTCGACGCATTTATTCGCAAGGACTTGCTGAATATGCCAAATAACAAACCGCCTGTGAAGGGAGAGAGGATTAATAAGGGCAACGTAACTACAGAGGCGTGTAACGACGACGCTGCATACTGAACTGGTAAACTTATTAAGATACTTGTGCCATCATTATGTTATTATTGCTGTTGTCTTCATTTTTATCACGATTTTTACACTTCCTTACAAGCGATATCATTCTCTAAACAGACACGCAACGCTATCGATTTCTACATAGTAACTTGTTAAGCCGTAATCATACAACGCTTCAACGCAAAATCAGGTAAATAATATTTTTTATTACAGTATTCTGTACATATGAACAAAAATTTGATTGAGAGCCTACAACCTAACAATATAAAGAAAGAATATAGCAAAGAAACAAACCGACCACACATCTCTCCGAAGCCAGCAGTCAGTCCACATAAGCCGGACAGCTGCTTGGCGTCATCTTCAAAGTAACTCATGTGTCCGACCGACGTTATGAAGACGGAGGACCAAAAGGACGTTGAAAGGCCTGTTCAACAGAGAATTCGTACTTTCACATCACACCGCATAATATCGAAGGGTAATTAATTGGAGGCGAGGAAATAAATTGAGAAATTGAGGTAACATGATAAGTTCAGGGCACTGTGGCAAGCAAGTTCGAGAAGGTATTGAAAAGATTAAAATAAATACAGAGATGAATAGGCGTGTGAAGTTATTGTGATAGAATAATTTAATATCGAAGAAATTGAATTAGGTATAAAAGTTGAATGTGATGGACTCACAATGACCATGGAGAGGATTTGAAATTATTAAAATTGAACCCAAATGAATGAAAGAGAAAACAAAAACAAGAAGACTGGAGATAAATTACTACACCGCTATTAATAACTATTATATTTTTATTGAATGGAACATTCTGATGTAGGCTCATGAGTTTCATCAACTGCGCTATTAAATCTTTATGTTATGTTATATTATGTAATGTTATGCGAATGTGACAACAAGAGGGCATTCTTTTTTGGAGCCCAGAAATAGTTGCCCGACACCACTTTGCGTGTTCTGGAAATGAGCGATGCTCATTACACGTGCATGGTAGAGGAACTTAGAAAGACTCTTAAATAATAAAACGAATTGCCAGCTAACGTACCAGTATAGAAGAAAATAACCGAGAGTAACAACATCTCTTTGTTGAAGAGCAGCTTCACGGATTGAACTGTATCAACGTGTTAATATTAAAATGAAAATTTCAAACCACTTCTTCATAGTTCAAGTGGAATGATCGCAAATTAAAACTTAACTAATACTATAATACTAACAAAATGCTCCGAGCGGAGATATCCTTCAGTAAAAAAATAATAAATTAACTGGTTGAGACAAAGTAAAAATAGAAATAAACAAAACAAATAATAATAATGATGTAACAAATAATACCGATGAAAAATCACGAAAGAATGTAACAGAATTTTAACTTTTGCTCGGATTTAGATTTGGGTTCACTCTTAAAGAACAGCATCAACAGACAGCCTGGAAAACAACGGAAGTAACAAATCATGAATTAATGAACATCTTGAATCACACAACACAATCACTTTCGCAACTTCAAAATCAAACAGTCAGTCAGTCAGTCAGTCAGTCAGTCAGTCAGTCAGTCAGTCAGTCAGTCAGTCAGTCAGTCAGTCAGTCAGTCAGTCAGTCAGTCAGTCAGTCAGTCAGTCAGTCAGTCAGTCAATCAATCAATCAAGATATTCATCAAAGTCATAATTAAGCCAACTAAGCCAGACCCACACATGTTATAAACATAACACCATGAAGGAGCTATAAAAACAACTATAGAAATTACAATAATTAATTTCAAACGTGAGTTGAAAAGTTATTCGCTCAACAAAGCATTTAAATCACAGTTAAACCCCAAGAAGAATGCCAATAGAGTAAATCAATAATAGGAATAATAATAACAAATGAACAGCGGCACCTAGGCAGGCAGCTGAGGTGAGACCAGCGAAGACGACGGTCCTCGTTGGACCATCGATACTCGTCAAGCCGGTGAATTTGAAGATGACAAATATGTTGCCCCAGATCAGGCTGAATGAAATTAATTTGAACTTTATTGTTATATATTTTCGAAGCACAGTTCTAGAAGCCTTATTATTTTTATACATATTTTTATTTTATCTATTTATTTATATATTTACATATATAATTATATATAAATTAAAATTTTTTTACTCTGTTAATGAAGCGTTGCAAAGGCTCTTGCTCATTACAAAAACTCTTTGACTACGTGCGTGAGTTGCTATGGTTTTATTGGCCTGAAAGGTTTATTCTTAATGACTGATTACAAGTTTGGCTCTTGAATCTCTTTGATTTATCTCATTTATAAGATGAAATCTTCCCCACCACCATAGTCGAAGTTGGACAAGAGCCATCCGCAAGCCTATGCGATTTTACATTCGAGAAAAACAGCGACAGTTGAAAAACATTTAACAATTAATGGTGACTCATTCTAAAAATCTCAACTATACTGACTCCATGAAAAACAACCTGAACTGAAAACGTAACTTCACTGACATTCTAGCGTTCGCAAAAGAAAAAAATGACGAAACAAATGTTAAGCCAACCAACGTTAAAAAAAGCATGAATAAATTTGATGTTCAACCTTGACTGAAACAAAACCCAGAATATTCCGGTGTTTCTGGTCATGGTGTCCAGAGTTGAGTTGGATATCAGGAACTTGCCCTGTGCTGTCCATAGAACTGCGTGGAAGTGATTTCATGAAACAATGCTTATTGATATTGACACGACGACGCTGAAATTATACGTGCATCGAAACCTATCGATTTCAGCAACATCAAATAATATTAACGAAACAAAAAAATAAATTTATAAGCTTATTATTATTATTACAACTAGACATTATTAAAAATCTCATTATCGTTATCATCACCGTATTCGTTATCATCATTTCCATTACAGCCCTCCACGTGCGGTTAAAACTTTTGAAACCGCAACAACAAAAAATCGTCTGCAACCGCAACGAAAAACCGCAACCGCCCACGATTAAAGCGCACGTACGCAGTTACTTTTGAAACTTACACCAAATCAATTAAATTTCATAAATATTTATATTAGTAAACTATAAGTGTATGCAGGCATGGAAAATAAAAAGTTTGTTAAAGTTGTCATTTCTTTTTACAAACGACCTTCGTTGTACTTTATCCTAGTCTGAACTTGACCTTCAGCTGAAATTGCAACCGTGAAACAAACACAACAACTCAAAATCGCGGTTATGTGCGGTTAAAATTGAGGTTGACCTCACGGGACTCTGACCTCCACAACGTCCATCGCAATAATAATCATAATAGTCGTTATCAGCATAATTTCATCATTTCAACAGCCCCCACTCACTTGCAGCTCCGAATCCTATAAGGACGGACGTGATGTACAACGAAATCTGATTTGGTCTCAAGAAAAACCCGATGAAAACGCTAATAATAACAACAATAATAATACCAATAAAAATGATAATGAAGAAAAGCAATAGGAAAATACATTACATTCAGCCTCATGACATGATAAAAACGTTTAGTGATTTGATTCGGTTGAAACATTTACAAATTTTAAATTCATTGAATGAAATAAAATTGCTATCTTCTTCAAAAAATCACATAAAAATGGTAACACAATGAAAAAACAACAGAAATAGAAAATTACCAAAAAGCATAATGCGACACATTTTCAAAATTTTACGAAGAGACGACGACTGACCAATAGAGTGACGACCCGATGATCATGGACCACTTGGAGTTGAAGACCGCCACAAAGGAGGGGGCCACCCAGTTCGAGGCTGCAAATGCCCCGTACAGCAAGGCTAAACTGAAACAGTAATTAGTCTAAGTACCTTTGTTTATTTAATTACTTATTTTTTATCATTCAACTCAAAAATAGTAATTAGTATAGATGTCTTTATTTAATTTTTATCATTCAAATCAGAAAATAGTATTAAAAAAAATCAAGTGTAAAGATGTCACTCGCATCCACAAACTTATGCTCACTAGAATAATAATAATTAAATTATAAAGATGAAAAAAAAATATTTGTTTTTATTTGTTAAGTCGCTTACAAAATATAATTGTTAACCATGTAAAGATGCACAGAAGAGTGGAAATTTTTGAAAAGTTAAAGTTATTTTTGTGGAAGAAGAAAAGTTTCGATGAGCTGATTTGTTACCTGGTATAACCATTCCCAGAAGTGTTGTTCGTTTCAATATTGGCTCCTTCAAGAACTAACGTCTGTTTGTTCAAAAAATTTTGATAAAAGTGTAGATGTAAGTAATACAATTTTTCAACTTTACAGTAATATAATAAAAATAAATTCATCATAAAAAAATGAAACAGCTCTTTACTGAAAAAATCAATAAATAAATTCATCATAAAAAAATGAAACAGCTCTTTACTGAAAAAATCAATAAATCAATTCATCATAAAAAAATGAAACAGCTCTTTACTAAAAAAATCAATAAAAACAGCAGCCTGACAATGATACAGAAAAAGACAACTTTTGATTATGTTGGCTCTACAATAACATGCAAGCTTACAACACTGGTCTTGTTGAAATATGCAAGACAACATGCAAAAACATAACTCAACTATTAATGAGAGGACAGACTGTATGTAATCTACATGTTACAAATTTTACATATGAAACAAAATTAAGCGTAATGTCCATGTCATGTGGAAATTTTTCATTCTCTAAGCTTTTAATTATCTTTTATATAAAAATTTAAATTAAAACAGAAAAAAATGGACAACTGATAATAAGACATGTAACCACACCTTAAAAGGAACAAAAAATTGTTGTTTATTATATTATTGGTATTATAATCATGTTATCAATTTGAACTTTGATACTATGCTAAAAAACAATATTTAAAATTAAGTAGCTTTAATATTAATTATTATTGACATTAACTGATTAACAAATTAACAGTTAATCTGTTGATGTTAATCATTTAATGTTAATAAAAATTAATATTAAAGCTACTTAATTTTAAATATTGTTTTTTAATATAGTTAATCATTAAAATCTTAATATAGTTAATTTAATTTAATCAATAACTATATTAAGAAGCATAAGGCTATTATTATTAAAGTATAATATAGCATAGTACAGTATAGTATAGTTAGTACAGTTTTATAGTCTTTCTTTTAGTATAAACTTTATACTATATAAAGTATATTATATTGCAATACTATGTTTTATTTTAATAATAAAATATTATTATTAAAAATTTAAAATAAAAAGACTTGAATCATGGAGCAAGTATTGAAGGCAGTGAAGAGGAACATAAATGTAATGCCCATGAGGATAACATTGTAAAACTTCCATCTGCTTGACAGTTGCACGCCTAAACTGGCCTCAGAATCTGACGACCCAACCGATTGCCTGTCTGCTTCTGTTTCCTGAACAGTGTTGTTATTATGAACAACATCACCTTCTACCTCGTCAATAGGCATTTTGACATGCGCTAATTCAACTTTCTTCCCTTAAATCAAATCAAAGTTAACTAAGATGCCACACGGTAGCGATCAAATATTAATGAAATTTAGAAGATACAAGGAAGAATAATCATCTCTTCTCTATTCAGCGTTTGTAGCAATTGAACTTAACTAACTAAAAGTAAACTAAAGCACATATGTTGACGCCATTTATAATATGTAGGATATTATATACGGAATGTATGTAAATATATACATATAGTATATAAATATGTTGAAATGTATATATATATAAATATATATATATATATATATATATATATATATATATATATATATATATATATATATGTTGGTAATAGACCATAATTTTTACAATATTCTATAAATTTTACCGAATGTTTGGCGTTAATATGTTTGTAGTTCGTTTTTTCGATTTTTCTCACTAAAGTTTTTTGGTGAACGTTTAGTTTATTAAAATTCAAAATAAACTTATTTTTCGAATTCATGCTGCAAATAAGGCCATATTTCGATTCCGAATGAATCATCGTCAGTGCTTTGTTTTCGTTGTTGGTTAAGCGCCGGGTTGGAAGTGAGGTTGTCATTTTTTGTTGTATATTTATTTTTGGTTTATTGATGTCGATTAGGACTGCTTCTGCAATTTTAAGATGCGTGTAGTTGCTATTCTGGTATATTACTTTGGTGTTGCTGTGTTGCTGTATATTTATTTTTGGTTTATTGATGTCGATTAGGACTGCTTCTGCAATTTTAAGATGCGTGTAGTTGCTGTTCTGGTATATACTT